TTAGGTAGCATCATGTCCAGATGAATCTCGTATTGGCGTAACAGCCCTCTCAGATGTGATCTCTAATCTCCTACTCTCCGAATCTCAAGGACTCTGCTTTAATCAAATGCTTATCGCACCTTTTCAGGTATGATATTGGACATTGATATTCTGTGTTAATCCTGAAAAGTTAAAGTTTGAGCTGAAAGCACAACTACAACTGAGCAACCTCTGAAACAGAAAAAAAATTTTTATCTTTATTTGATTGAAAAATTCACTTTATATATTTAAAGTTCAGTGTGAATTTCAATATTGCAAAAGTGAAGCAATTGTATTTATAAAAGATTTGTAATGAGAAAAATGGTTACCGTCGTCGGGTTAATATATATCATTCCTCATGACGCAAATTTATTAAAGTACTTCCCTTTATAGGCAATCATCTGCTCGGATACGTGTTCGCCAGAAACACGAGAACAAATAGTGGCAGCCCTCGCTGATTTTGTGAAAACAAAATCAGAACGAATTGGTTCAGGTATTTTATTCTTTAATAACACAATCAAATCAAGTTTTAGTTTCAAAACACCTCACGTTAAAAAGGTACAGATAAGACAAATTGATAGAATATCTTTTTTAGGGTGGAAAACGCTCTTCGGCACACTGCGAGCTCTCCGCACTTCAGAAGTCGATAGCGATAGTGTTCATTGGACTGTTTTAGACGTAATAGGAGTTTACCTACGAATCGATAAGTAGTGGGTTTCGCAAATATTTGAGCCCAGCTAAGTAACTTATGAATTAAAGTTGGCATAATTCCAGTTCCGTGTTATCCTGGTCTCTACCCGATTGCCTCCTGTGTATAGTACATTTCCTACAGTCCAACCACGTGAAAGCACCAGCTCCGCCAGATGGGGAGGTTACGGGAGATTCAAAACCTGTAGAGGATCAACTTAGTGAAGCCGCTTTACGACTTGTAACTCCCACATATACAGTGATCCTGAATCTCTTCAAAACGCCCCATATACCGAACCCCAATCTCCTCCATAAGTGAGTAACTTCGTTAAGATTCAGGTAGAATGGCCTTAAAAATGACTTCCATTGCTTTTAGAGCAGAACTTCGTGCTATTTGTCTGGATGAAGTCGAATGTGTCAACACGACTTCTGCCCCTTTGTCGGAATGCCTGGATCCTGCACATTTTCCATTAGCGGAATGCGATCCCTCTCCCCTTCAACTGGACACTTCATTGGAAGGTATTTTATATGACCTTTTTGAAAA